GTTCAGTCATGTCAAGTTGGTTTTGACTCACAGTGACCCTGTATAGCGTTTTCTAGAAGTGGCTGGTGGATTTGAACCACTGACCTTGCAGTTCAAACCGACCTTGCAATCTAGTGCTTATCCTACAGCGTCACACAGGACTCTTTAAAGTCTTGTTGTTGTTGTTATTGTTGTTAAGTGCCATTGAGTCCGTTCCAACCACAGTGACCCTGTTAGGGTTTCTGAGGAGCCGCTGGTGAGCTTGAACTGCCAACCTTGCGGTTCAAATGGATTTTGCAGTCCAGCGCAGTAACCCGCAGCACCACACCACATGACCCTTTGTAGTCTTCTTGCTGTGTGCCTTAGAGTCGGTTTCTGAAGAGCAGCTGGTGAGTTAGAACCACAGACCTTGCAGTTCACACCGACCTATGGTGCCATACCAGGACTTCTTTGTAGTCTTTGGTCATTGTGATGTGCCGTAGAGTTGGTTCTGACTCATAGCGACCCATACAGGGTTTCCAAAGCTGTAAATGTTTATGAAAGTAGAAAGTTTCGAACTGATGACCTTAAGGTTCGCAGTCTGATTCATAACCACTACACTACCAGAGTGTAGTGGTTGTTGTTGTTGTTAGGTGCCATCAAGTCAGCACCAACTCATAGTGACCCTATGCACAACAGAACGAAACACTACCCAATCCTGGGCCAACCTCACAATTGTTGCCACGCTTGAGCCCACTGATGCTGCTACTTTGCCAATCCATCTTGCTGGGGATCTTCCTCTTTTTCTCTGACCCTCCACCTTACCAAACATGATATCCTTCTCCAGCAACTATGGCTCAAAAATTGCTGAAAAAGTTAATGTATGCAGTCCCATATGTGGGACTCTACTTTTTAGGGAAAGCTCCCAGCAGGCAGGAAGGGCAGGGATTTCTCCAGCCTTGGGGCCTAGCTAAGTACCAGAGGCTTATGGAAAAATGCATTGGAAAACACTCAGACAGATGGAGAGTTGAGTGATGACTTCCATGAGGCACCAGGGCCACGACCAACTGGACCACCTCTACCTGTACTACTCTTTGCTTCTAAGAGTTGACCTCAAATTTTATTTGGGACTTGTGGAATCACCCCTACAGGAGTCCCCAAACTTCTAAGCTTTCAGAGTTCTATCTTCTGCTCACTGCCTGACCACGCATTGCTCCAGCAAAGCTGGACGAGAACAAAACTTGTCAACAGTCATTGGTCTCCTCCCAACCAGACTCAGCTTCCTCACAGGATGCGCTTCCCTCTGTCCCCTCAAGCCCACTCTCTGGTTAGGCCCATGCTGGTCATTTACTATGGTTTCAGATTTGCATCCAAATGCCTCTCCTGGATGGGATGTTGTTGTTGTTGTTGTTGTTAAGTGTCATTCAGTTGGTTCTAATCCATAGCAACACCGTATAGGGTTTCTGAGGAGTGGCTGTTGGTTATGAACTGCCAACCTTGTTATTTGGAGTCCTGGTGTGGCCCCTGTGGAATAAAGCATTGGATTGTAAGGTCAGTTTGAACCACAAGGATGGCAGTTTAAACTCTCCAGCCACTCCTTGGAAATGCTATATAGGGTAGTTATGTGTCGGAACCTATTTGATGGTACTTAAAAGCAACAAGACCGAGAACACTCAGCCTTATAATCTTCCAGTGAGACAATGAACTAAACAACCTTGCAATTAACAGTCCAGTGTTTATGCTACAGCATCATACCAGGACTCCATGCTGTTATTGTTAAGTGCTGTTGAGTTGTTCCAACCATAGCAACTCTGTATAGGGTTTCTGAGGAGCAGCTGTAGCGTTTGAAATGAGGACCTTGCAGTTCAAACAGCCTTTGATGTCTAGTACTTATCCCACAGCGCCACACCAGGATGTTAGCTAAGTCTATTCGGACTGACAGTGACTGCACATGACAGAACTGAACTGCCTCATAGGGTTTTCTTGACTGTAATCTTTACGGAAGCAGAACTTTCTCCCATGGAGCCACTGGGAGGGTCTGAACCACTAATTTTCAAAGAAGCATTTCCTGCCAGAGTACATACGCATTTGACTTCTAACTGTAGAATGAAAACGTATTATCTGCTTACAAGAAATCAGTAAGCACATCTGTTGTTGTGGTTAAGTGCCTTCAAGTCAGTTCCGACTCATAGCGACCTTGTATAGGGTTTCTGAGAAGCAGCAGGAGAGCTTGCACCGCCGACCTTGCAGTTCAGTGCATTAACCCACAGCGCCATACCAGGAATCTAAACACACCTAGAGGTGATTTAAAAGGCCCAACTAGATTCCTGACACCACAGAGGGAGGCTGGATGAGATTACTAGGTATTGGCCAGGGAGCTAAACAGGAATTACAAGGAAAGGCAGCAGCAGTTAATTCAGGTTTCCAGGAACGCAGTTGGCAAACTCCCACCTGAGAGGAAATCTGAAAACATTTATCAAGGGCACTGAGCCCTCATGGCAATTGCCAGGCAATCAAACCAAATTATGAAACCAAAGACTACATGAAGTAAGAAGGAGCAATTCATTCTCTTACCTACATTTTAAATCTATGCTAATTGCATGTAAACCTTCTCAAGAGAAACCCCTGGGTGGTTATAAATGGTTAACAAACTCAGCTGCTAATAAAAAGGTTGGTGGCTCAAGGTCACCCAGAGGAACTTTGGAAGAAAGTTCTGGTGATCTACTTTGGAAAAATCAGGCTTTGAAAAATCCATGGAGCACAGTTCTACTCTGACATGCATGAAGTCTCCATGGTTTGGGAATCGATTCTTAGCAATTGATTTGTTTGGGGTTTTTTTGGGTATCTTCTCATGATATTGCCAGGTTCAGAAAATATATGTAAATAGATCCTTGTTTTCAACAAATTTTATTGAGAACAAGCTTCTCCCTACTAAATAAATGCTGAACCAATATTTAAAGAGTATCCATTTGAGGCATCACATTATGACTTTTTCCAGAGTCCCCATGTCTTGGTCTAGATGACACAAATGGTTCAGTGTTGGGTTGTTAACTGAAAAGTAAGTGGTTTGAACCCACCCTGAGGCACTGTGGAAAAAGTCTGCTGATGTACTTCTGAAAATTCTGCCAATGAATACCCTGTGGAGTACAGTTCTTCTCTGACACACATGGGATTTCCATGAGTCAGAGGTGACTGGACCGTAACTCTAACTTTAGCCTGGTTTTGGGTGCTGGCTACAGATTACTTTTCAGAAGGTCCAAACCTGCCATCCAAGGAGCCCTGGTGGTATGTTGTGGGTTCCAAGTTGGGCTGCTAACCACAGTTTGAATCTACCAGCCACTCGGCAGGAGAAAAATGAGGCTTTTTGCACCAGTAAAAATTTACACACTCAGAAACCCTATACAGGGTCACTGTGAGTGGGAAAGGACTCCAAGACACACAACTACCACAACCAACACTACCTTCCAAACTGTTCTCTTTTCTTGTAAATGTATTCTATGGCCCTTAGTCACCCCCAGAGTTCAATTTTCAGCCAAATAATAAATAGACTGGTCTATCCTAGAAAACACTATGCAGGGTTGGTATTGACTTGATGGCACTTAATACAACAACAACATGAACAAGTACACTAGGGAAGTACACACTCTTTAAAGTAGTTAATCATTAGAGATTTTAAAAGGCAGTATTTGTCAAAAAAAAAAAAAGGTCAGACCACAGGAAGGTGGAATGGAAATGGGGAAAAGGGGGGACAGGAAGTAGGATAAGTGACATTACTGTAAACCTTTTCCCAATTCACAACAAAAAGTTAAGGGGAAAAAGAGTATGCTAGTATTTAGCACCTGAAAGAGCATGTTGAAGGGCAGGCACAGGGCTGTCTAATCTGAGTGTTAGCTAACACTTGTCCTATTCTCTGGCTCCAGCCTGCTAAAGTGTGAGGTTTCCCTAACCCAAGCTCCCGGCTGGCAACACCAGGCAATGCAGTTAGGCCCGGGCACTGGAGCGGCAGTTCTTTGCTGAGAGGATTTATTTATGGGCTTGTTTGTGGAGCCTGTGGATGGAGCAGCTTGAGCGCTGGCTCAGCCTGATACTGTTTACTCCTGCGGCTTCAGACCGTGTCCAATTTCCTCACTTTCCTCTCCAGTTCTCGCGAAGCCAGGCAAACGATGGCCACCTACACAGGACTCCAGGAGACTTTGCTTTCGTGCTCCTAGTTTATCCTTCATGGTCTGACCTCTCTTCTCCCTAGTAGGGGCATACCTTCCCCCATCCAAGGCTATTTTCAGTCCAGTCTCCACCTGTTTGTTCTTCAAACTTTGGTCTCAAGGCAGAAAGAGCACAATGCCTGATATTTCCAATTCAGCTATCTGTCTCCCACGACTTCCACGACCCCCACTCCAGTGCAGTAGCCTGTCCTAGGATTGGGCTGGGACTGTGGGCTCTCTGATAACTAGTTTGCCACAAGGAACATGTCTCCGTGCCTCATTCCCGGCAAGGCCACCAAACTCGAGAAGTAACCCCTGAACTTTTGCCCTGGGAGGGTCTCTATATGTCAATATTTTAAAGAAAAGCCATTGCTGCACCACATACTATAAGCAGGAGCTCTGCATGTAGGCGTTGTTAGAATCACAAAGATATTCAATTGTTTTTCTCGCCCTTCCTACTCCTATTCCACGGTTCCCTTTTTTTTTTTTTTTTTTTTTTTTATAAATACTCTTTCCGTTTCCAATCTTTTCTAAACCAATTGGCCAAGTTACTCGATCGATCGTTACTGTTTTTAATGCCCACCTGGCCGGACATGTTTAGAATTTTAGGCCCGAGCTGGGCTCTTTTATCACTGCCTTTAAAAAGAACTTGTGTCCTGCCAGGGAGCTAACTTGGGTGGGATGGAGGTGCAGTTCTCCAGCCTCGAAAATAGAAAAGCAGGGAAGATGACCACCAAAGTCGGACGCTGAAATCCCACCACTTACACGGCCTCCTCCCGGATAGCCCCGCTACTTCCTTCCAAGAAATCAGCCCCCAATGCGGCTTTAGAGTGACCCCACCTCGGATCGGCTCTTGAGACTGCTCCGCTTGGGTCGCAACAGAACATCCTTGAAGTCAAGCTTGAGGTCCGCATCTATGCGGGGCATGGTGCTGTGCGGCGCGGTGATTCAAAGCGCACCAGCGGGGCGCAGGCAGCTCCTTCCTGCGGTGGCAGTCGGGGCGGGGCGGAGTGGGGGATTGCTGCTGCCGCAGGCCGGCACTGGCGGGCGACTCGGCTCACACTGGCTCCCAAACTCTCCGGCCTGCATAGCTCTCGGCCCGCCCTCCGCGGCGCCCCGCCCCGCCCGGCCCCGGCTCCCTGCAGCGGGTCACGGAAGTGCCCAGGTCTGGGCTGGAGAGGGGGGCAGGGAGTGGGACAGCGACTGCATTAGGGATAGGCCAGTTGAGGCGAAGACTCAATTGCAAGTTCGATCGTGTGACATTTCGGTCTATTCTTCCCCCCTCCCCCGTGCAGTCTGGCTCGTTGCTGTGACCGAATGAGGGGCCCTAGGGGCAAGGATGCGCACAGCCACGGAAGAAGCCCCAAATAGGGAAAGGACTTCATCAGGAACTGTCTTATACTAGGGAAAAGGCCACTCCTTGCAAGGACTTTGTTGCGCCTTACTTTTAATTCCAAACTCCGTGGACCCGCCAAGTGCTCGAGTCAGGCCAAAAATTAAGAAACCTATGAGACTGGACCTAAACCCATTGCCTTCGAGTGGATTCAGATTATAGGGACTCCGTGGGGGCAAAGTAGAACTTTCACTGAGGGGTTTCAAGGGAGTCCTGGTGTGGCTCTGTAGGATAAGTACAGGACTGCTAATCAAAAGGTCAACGGTTAAAGCCCACTAGCTGTTCCTTGAAATCGGGTCGCTGAGTTGGAACTGACCTGATGGTATTTAACAACAATAACATACTTGTGATATTTGAGATTTTCATTCCCCATTAGAGTAACAGTAACTTTGTAATATCAATTAAGAATGTATATGTGAAAAAAAAGTATATGTGAATAATTGACTTAATCATGAATATAAGGTGAAATTTATGAAATAGATGTAAGAGAATTTAATCAGCTTCTATTAAGATTACAGCCAAGAAAACCTTTGGAGCAGTTCTACTCTGTAACGTGCAGTCGCCATGAGTCAGAAATCAACTCAGTGGCAATGGGTTAAGTTTCATAAATTTATAAACGTGAGTAAATTACTTTGGAAATCTTTGCTCAGTGCTTTCCTATTTAAACCAATCATTCACCTGGAAATCTTGTTAAAAGGAAGATTCTACTTTACTTGGTTTAGAGTGGGGCCCTAGGTTTTGTATCTCTTTATTGTGTGTGTGTTGTTGTTGTTATGTGCCATCGAGTCAATTCTGACCCATAGCGACCCTGTATAGGGTTTCAAAGGAGCCTCTGGTGAGCTTGAACCATCGATCTTGCAGTTCAAACGACTTTGCAGTCTGGTGCATTTAACCCACAGCGCCACACCAGGACTCTCTGTGTGTGTGTGTGTGTGTGTGTGTGTTGGGGAGTGACTAAGGGCCATAGTCTTTTTCTAACCAATAAGCCTGCTTTTTTTTTTTATGATTTAGGGACATTTTTTTTAAATGTTCTGCATTCTTCGTTCACTCTCTCCAGGATCTTTTCATGTGATCCCTTGCACAGTAGATGGTAGTGATACCTGGGTACCATCTAGTTCTTTGGGTCTCAGAGACAAGGAGACGGATGTTCACTTGGTCTATTAGTCCCCTGGAATAACTGTTTTCATGTGTCTTTGATTTTCATCACTTTCTTTGCCTGTGGATGGGTAGAGATTAATAATTGTGCCGTAGGTAGACACTTGTTCATGAGTTTTGAAGCTCCCAGTCTCTACTCACCAAAGTAGGATATATGATGTTGTCTTTGTGGACTATGTTATGCCAGTTGACCCTGGTGTCCCTGAGACTATGGTCTTGAGTCTTGAGACTCAAGATGTTTGGTTAGGTCAAAGTTTTTATAACTCTGCTCCTTATTTGCTCCACCACCTTGATATTGCAAGCAAAGGTAAATTTGTTGTTGTTGTTGTTATGTGCCATGGAGTCGGTTCCGACTCATAGCGATCCTGTACAGGGTTTCTGAGGCTGTAAATCTTTACAGGAGCAGAAAGCCCCATCTTTCTTCCATGGAACAACTGGTAGTTTCGAACTGCTGACCGTGAGATTAGCAGTCTGATTCATAACCACTATGCTACCAGAGCTCCTAGGGCCTCATGCAGGTTGAACAGGTGTGAGAGGAAGAGGGGATATATATATCTATATAGGTTTGACAGGGGATCATTGTACAGGGGTATGCAAAGGTAAATACCCATGTACAAAGAGCCCCTGTCAAACCTATATAGATATGCCCCTCTTACTCTCACACCTGTTCAACCTGCATGAGGCCCTAAGTTTTACATTTCTAATAAGTGCTCAGATGAAGCCAAAGTTCAGCAAATAGGAAGGAGTTAGCAATTAACTTATTTACAAAGAAAATCTGGTTGTGTTTGTAAATGCTATTTTCAATATTTGAAAGTGTATAAATGGGACCAAATGTTACTGTTGTTGTTGTTGTTAAGTGCCATCGAGTCGGTTCCAACCTGTATAGGGTTTCTGAGGAGCAGCTGGTGAGCTTGAACCACTGACCTTGCAGTTCAAATGGCTTTACAGTCTGGCGCATTAACCCACAGTGCCACACCAGGACTCCAAATGTTATTGGAAGCCCTTTATTTTATTAAAAATCAAATATTAAATTGCTAAGCCTAGAATAAGGTTTTAAAGTAGATTGTGTAACCTTAACAAAGAAAAAAAAATTTAATGGTTCTTTCAATGAATAGTAATTTAAACAATTTTAAAAGCAGAATGTCTGTTGGCCATTTCTATTGTTCAAAATTATCCCCAGGGCACTATTTATCAAAGCTCCTATTTAACAAACCTCTTCTGTGTGGCAGGTACTGTGCTGGATGGTTTACATGTATTTTCTTCAGTCATCCTTACAACAAGCCTATCAGATGATCGTAATTACCATCTCCTCTGGAAACTAATGGAGCCCTAAGGTGGCACAGCAGTTTAATGCACTGAATCGCAAGGTCGATTTGAACCTCAGGGTTGGCAGTTCAAACTCAACAGCCCCTCCTCAGAAATCCTATACAAGGTGCCTGTGAGTTGAAACCAGTTTAACCACACTTCACCACTGCCTGGAAACTGATGCTCAGATGACCTCCCAGGGTGGAGGCTGACACTACACACTAACAAGGAGTTGACGCTTCACCCCACTGCCTACAGTCTCCATATTATATTGTTACAGCCTGTTAGAAGTCTGCCTCCCTTCTACCAGCAGTGCCAGTCCTGAAACTACAAACTCTAGAATTCCCTTAGTTCAAGGGATCTGTAATATTAAATGAGGAGAAATTACATCACTTCTGATTAAAATTAAGAATTTTGTTCAATTATGAATGTGGGCAACCCTCTATAGTTGTATTACCATTATCTGGTACTTTGAAATCACCATTCATAGAAATCACCAATATTTTCACACCTGTTTACAATTGTGGCTTTGTAATAGGTTATTCAACTAACGGTTAGCAGTTTGAGCCCCTCCAGAAGCATCTCAGCCAAGATTACAGCCAAGAAAAATCTTGTGGAGCAGCTTAACACATGGGTTCCCCCTAAGTCAGAAGTGACTTTGTGGCAACAGTTTGATTTTTTCGCTTGCAAACTAAGGTGCG